AATATTTTATATTAGATTTTGATCGAATTCTATTATAACAGAAATAAACAAAAGATAAATTAATTTCAATTCAAGACAACGTGAAAAACTTGATAGATTAAAATCAATGCGGATTTCTCATGAGAATGTTAGTATAAGCTGATGAACTTATTTAAAGATAAATAAAAAAAGTTTTTTTTTTTATGATTATCTAACTAAAAAAAAACAAAGTATAACAATAATGAATAGAATTTGTATCGATAAATATATTCTCTTGAATTAATTGTCACTTTATTGGGATGATTATTTATTTCATCTATTAGATTGAAAAACGAATATTTATTTCTATTATTTGTATTAAAAAGAAATACTCAAGAAAATAACTCGATTTTAAAATAATCAATCGAACCTTTAGTTAACATATCAAACAAAATTCTAAAATAATTGAATCTATTGTTGACAATACGTTGATTAATAAAATAATTGAATCTATTGTTGACAATACGTTGATTAATAAAACAATTGAAAATAAACTATAAGTAAAAAGCAAAATAAATTAAAGATTTAATAATAAGAAAATAAGTTTTGTAATGAATTGAGAAAATAAAGTTATTTAAAAGACGAAGAAAAATTGTAGGGACTTGCACTGATTGACAATTGTTCATCTTTAAATAGTGCATAAACATCTCTTTGTAAATGTTGTTGATGATGTTGAGAATAAAATTCATTTAGATCGTTGTCATTCAAAGGTCCATAAATGATTGGTTCTTTTGGATGAAGTGCATAAAATGTTTTTGCGCCAAGAATAAGTTTCATATATTGAAAAATGTCTTGGTGTACAGTTTTTGGTGTTCCCCAACTAGTATATTCAAAAATAACATGATTTATAAGATGTCGACGAAATAATTTTTCAGTTGATCTAAAAACGTGTAATTCATGTCCTTGAACATCAACTCGAAATAAATAAATTGATGATGAAAATGGATAATCATTTAAATTAATTGTTTCACCCCTATATATATCTTGATTTTTGTGATGATTAATAGAAGATAATTGACTAGTACTATTTTTACTAAAATATACTGTCGTATTCGATTTTAAATCACTAACAGCTTTTTTCATTAAATGAACACGTGATTCAAATTTATTTATTGTTATCGATTTTTCAATCAATGAAAGTTTTCTTGGTTCAATTTCAAACATATAAACTTGACATCCACATGCAGCAGCATATAAACCAAATTCTCCTAAAAAATATAATATTTTTCTTTTTTCTTTCATAAAATATGATTTAAAAATGTATTGAAATAAAAATTTATTAAAAATAGTGTTACCTAAAGATGCTCCAATATCAAAAACAGTTGTATTTGGATTTTGTTGACATTTTTCCTGAAGTTTTAAATGATTGATTAATACTGTTTGTGCACGATTTCGTTTCAAAGGAAATTCATATCCTTGATATGTAACTAGTTTATACGTTGGTAGTCGATCATTTATTTCAAAAATTTTTATTAATATATTATCTCTATTATGATATGGAAATATATTATTTAATAAATTTGATTTTTTATAATAATGCATTATAGACAATAACAATGGAATTAAAGCAAATAATATAAGAAAATATCGAGATTGAGATAGTGTACGACTAACCATCATTTTAATAAATAATATCGATTTTCTAAAAGAATAATTATTCTTTTTTTCTTTTTTCACAAAAATATTTATTTCATTTTAAAATAATTATTATTTAAATAAATATATATTTACTTAATGAATATTTCACTAAAAAATATTTTCTCTTTTAAAAAATTAAAAGAAATAAGTTATATAAAAAAAAATTGTTTTCTTCCTATTATAAAATTTTTAATAAAAAAAAAAACAAACAAAACAATGCAAGAGAAACGTTTTGTACACAAGTAACATAAATACATATTTCACTTCGAGTATACTTAACCATTACTTATTCATTATGTAAAGACATATATATGCTCTTACAAATTATTTTTTCTTCAAAAAAAAATTCATTCTTTTACTTTGATATGAACAAAAAAATGAATTTCTCTATTTTAATTCCATATATCGAATCAATTAACAAAAGAAAACAAAATTATTCAAATAACAAAGAAAGGGTTTTTTTAACGAAAAAAAACACGTTTTGCTTTCTCAATAAAAATCTTTCTATTTTAATAAACAAAATTCATTATTTTTCTAATGAAGTTCCTCGAATAGAAGTTCTTACTTGAAATAATGAACAATCAATAAATTGTTCAATTCGAATTTGCATCGAAATCAATTTAGAAAAATCTTCTATCAATTAAAAATTTTATTTTTAAAAGAAAATCAAATAAATAAATAATTTCAGGTTTAAAAAACATAAATAAACTAGATTATATTTGAGTTTTTACCGACGACGAAATCCAATAAGAACCTTTTAATGTCGATGGCTCATAAAATGGGTATCTCATTAACAAAAGAAAACAAATATTCATTTCGAAAATTGAATACGAAATACTTTTCTCCTTATAAAATTCCTTACTAAGACAATTCATTAATAAATATGTGCACCTTTTTAATAAATAATTTCGATTGTTTGATTCATTCTTTCTCTGATTGATTATCTATCATTAGTTCTTAGATTTACAGCTATCTTAGCTATAAGCAAAAGACAATACTGGCTAACTTGTTGGTATCATCGTTATAATTATCTCGAAGCTTGAAAAAGAAAACAAAATCAAGAAAAATCTTGCTTTTTCCAATATTTTTTCATGAAACGTCAGAAGATAGTTGTTATGAATTCAATCATGAAATTTCATTTTCGCCTTTCAACGAGTATTGTCTCACTTTCTCTTCTCAAGGTCATCAAGAAAAAAAAACCGAATTGTCGATGTACACATCGACAAAGAATAAAAGAAAAGCAATTACAAAGGACTACATAAATGTTGTGCTTCTCTATTGCATTAAATAATCTGATAGGATGTCAATATCCAAAAAACTTTTCTTGTTACTTAAATAAATTTTCCACATGAGTTTAATATATCTTTAAGAACTACAACCTCTAAACATCCGCTAGTATCAAACTCAAATGTTGAATTGAATTATTGAAGATCTTTCAAATATTCGAATATTGCTCTGCCGATGAGTTTTTGTCACATTATCAATGTGTACGTTTCCATTAGTGTCTGCCTATGTCATGCAAACCGTTCGAAAATAAATGGTTAACTGTTGTTCTTCTGCTGGTTTTTTTAATAAATAATTGCATGAATATTTTTAAACTCTTAGAAAAATATTAAATTCCATTAGAAATCGTGCCTCCGCATAAAAATAAGCGTGCTCCTCTTACCTGTACCAGCCATACCGGCTGTTGTCGTTTAGTGTTTTCGAGTTTGATTATTTATTAAAGATGGTTCTACAAAAATAGTCACTTGTTAGAACATTTAACCGATAGGAAAAAGTGTGGTACTATGTAACTAAATATACTGTGCTATATGAATATCGACTTCTTAGAGTAGCAATCAATCTCTTGAAGTCAGAAAATATTAGTTTAATAGAAAAAGTACTAAGAAAAAAACTTGATAAAAAAGGATGTAAAACATTCGAACCGTTGGTTTTGATGGAAAAAAAATGAAGACGTCAGTGAATATCTCTATTTCAGATATTCAACATTGACATGTGACATTTATGAAATATAGCTTTATATTCATTATAGAAGAAATAGTTATTTCAATCGATTTCATGATATGATAAGGTGTAAAGAGAATTTTTTTTCATTTTTCAACGATATTATGAAATTGAAAATCGTTACACATATCGCTATCTGGCATCCCACTGGCAGACCGTAGAAAAAGAAGAGAAAAAGAGGACCGTCATTTGCAGAAAAAAAAAGGGAATTTTCAATATAGAAAGAAAAAAAAGAGGCTCATTTTTTTGCTTCTGAAATAAGAATGAAGGCTACGACGAGATTTAAAAGTCAATAAATCAGAGCGTCGTTAATCTGGATTCAAAAAAGACTCGAAAAATTCGAAAGATAAAAGCTATTTTCAGTTGTTGATATTTGTGGTCGTGTTTTTTCTATCGAGTTCAGAGCAAGAGAACTATAAAAAACAGACAAAAAGGACAGGGTCTACTACAAAAGTACTCGATTGTGATACCACTTTACCTGGATACTCGTAGATGAAGAAAAAGAAATTAAAAAGAAAACCACTGAATATTCAGAATCTGTTCAGTTGATAAAAGTACGAGAGCATAAAGAGCTAACATAAACAAAAAAAAGACGTAATAGGGCGGACATATTTATAAGACAAGAAAATACCACAAATTCAATTCAAAACAAAGCGTTCAAAGTTTCTTTCTCAAATCTGTGACAAGAATTTCTATCACGTTATCCGAAGTTCTTCCTGGGAACAGAATAATACTAATTCTGATCAATTATAAAGACTTAATATAACTTGGAATTCAATTGGAATTAAGTAATATACAAGAAAAATTGTACTTGAAAAAGCTTTAAATTTTGAGTACACTACACTTTAGTTTGGACGATTATTCATAAAATTCTCTAGGAGTAGGAAAACTGACCCTCTCTAACGTTGCATGACGCAGCGAATTTTTACAAAATTTGTCAGAGGTTATCACTAATTCATCTTCGAGGCTACCAGAGTTGCAGAACCTACTGCTGTGTGCGAACAAGCACTTGGGAAACTTTTTTTCTGGCGAAATTTTAGAAGTCTTATCGAGAAAAATCGTGTTTTGTTGCTTTGCTAACTGGCTACGTCTTGGAAACGATTTTCCCATCCGAGCAAATTTGATCACTTTGATGGAAGATTCTGCAGTTCTGCAGCCGAGATTCTTGAAAATCGTGTTTAAGTTCATACTCGAAACTACCCTGTTGTTCCGCTCAAGTACCTAACTTTCAAACTTTTATGTTTGCACGTACATAAGTCTATCACCATTTATTTTGGTATTTCTAAATATTGACTTCAATAAATATTGATTTTAGCTAATCTGATCAAATCCAAAATAATTTACTAAAAAATGTTTCGGATTGGAATTAGTGTCTATTTGGTTTTCTCAATGCACACTCAAGGTCAACTTTCAACCTTGTTATTGACCTTATTGATTAAAAGCGTATTGATTCACTCAAATGAGTCAACATTATCGATTATTTTCCTTTAACACCTAATTATTTCCAAAAAAATAGAGGAAAACGAGGCGATGTGGGAAGCCAGCGTTATTTATGCTCGAACTAATAATAATAGTCTGTTTTTGATTGGATAAAATGGTCATATTCTTATACGATCATGTTCAGCAGAGATCAGATGAACAGAATCATTCCATGTGGATTGATGTACCTAGTCATCAATTCCAATATCCTATGATATATGTTTATCAAAATTAACTAGATAAGTTTCCTTTCGATGGTTGATTTTATCAATAGAAATTCGAATTATTCAATAAAATGCTTGTCTATCTATATGTTGATCATCAAATTACTGTTATCATATCAGTTTTCAACAAAATTTCTTGTTGACCAACTGAATAGTTTGCTTGTGTCCAGGATGAAGATTACTAAATAGTTTGAGAGTTGGCCAAGTAAAAACTTTCTCTAGTAGGATTATTACTCGAGCACTTGAACAATAAATTAGTAAAATGCAGCGAAGTTCTTCGTCTCGAAAACATAGGAAGTGGATCAAACTTTTCAGGTTGAACATTGACAATTCTTTCCCATCGCTTGATTACCGAATATCTTTTTCAAAAATCCTCTCCTGTCAACTATTTTCACATAGGAGACCGAAATAAATAAGAAAATCTCGATTACGATTTTGCTCTCTGTAGTAAACGTTACTTTCTTGTTTATAATCGAAACAAATCAGATTAAATTAATACTTATAAAAATAATTGTTAAATATTTCTTTAACTAAAATTATCTCATCTGTTTAGTATTAATTCTTACAGATCTCATAGACGTATCATTTGAGCTCTAACTATACTTTAAGATGATGAAATTAGATACTTACCATTTGAAAACTCTTATGTTTTGCTTGGTCAAACACGAATTCATTGACAATTGGTTTTAGAAAATAGATAAGTTTTAAGTTAGTAAGAAAAGTATAATTAGTATTCGAACTTGTATGCAATAGACTCTTTCCTTTTAGATGGATTTATATATATATATATATATATATATTTAATTGAATATTTCAATTTTGAAATCTTCTTTATGATATAAATTTTATTTAAATATAATAAATATTATTTTTGTTGATAAATATAAATGATATAATAATAAAATTAGAATAAATTTGTAATTAAAGATAAGTTTAAAAAGTTATTTGAATAATGATAACAATTATTTATTTCAAAAAAAAAAAAATCTTGTTAAGAACTATGTGTCCGTTCATTAGGACGAAATATAATGCTATCAGTAACAAGATCAATTTGTGACAAAGGTACAATACGTGTTTTTTTAACAAATTTGTAAACAAAATAAATAACTAAAAAAACAGGTATTGTTATATAAGCTGATAAGAAATTACTAAAATTAAATGGATGTGTTGTAAATGCTGAATAACCTTGTCCTAAAACAGATATACATATTAATAATGATGCTAATATTGGTCCAACTGGAAAAAATAATGCTTTATAAATAAGATCATTTAATGAATAACCTTGTAAAATAAAAGCTCGACGAAATCTCCAATGAGCTAATGATATTCCAAACCAAGCTATAAAACCCATAACACCAGTTATATTAACTAACCATTGATATATTATTTTATTACCAATAAACGATAAACCAAATAATACTGTTGATACAAATGTTGTAAATACAAGACACCATATTGGAATACCAGTTCGTGTTAAATAAGCAAATTTTTTTGGAGCTTTTCCTTCATTAGCTAATGCATATAAAACACGTGTACATACATAAAGACCTGAATTTCCAGCGGATAATATTGTTGTTAATATAACTGCATTCATTATATGTACAGCTGGTTTAAGACCTGATTTAATAAAAACAAGTGTAAATGGTGATACAGCGACATTTTTAACATCATCATTATGAGCTAAATTAGGATCATTATATGGAATAACAAGACCCATTATTATTATTGATCCAACAAAAAATAAAATAATACGCCAAATAGTTCCATTCATTGCACGTGGGACATCACGACGAGGATTTGCACTTTCACCTGCTGCTATACCAACTGCTTCTGTACCCTTTACATTTTATTAAATTATTTATTTTTGAATTTAAATTAATCTTAACTTACTTGAAAAGCAAAACCAGAAACAATTGAAGTTGTAATTATTCCACCAAAACCTTTATAAAAAGGTGCACCATCAATTTTCCAATTACGAATTCCTATTTTATCGTGTCCAAGTACACCACTATCAACTAATATACCAATTATTATAAACATAACAACAGTAAGAACTTTTATCATAGCAAACCAATATTCAGCTTCTGCATAACCTTTTACTGTAAATGCATTTAATACAAACATTATTGTCATTCCTAATAGAGACCAAACCACACTTGGGCTATTTGGTAACCAAAATTGTACAATTATCCCTGCCGCTACTAACTCCCCAGCAATTGTTGTAACCCAAGAAAAATAATAATTATAAGCTAAAGCAAAACCAAATGCTTCATCAACAAAACGACTTCCATATGTATTAAATGAACCACTTATTGGATATTGAGTTGAAAGTTCAGCTAGATTTTTAAATAAATCAAATATAATTAATGTATGAAAATGTCTTAGAAGGAAATTTATCATTAATAAGTCTATATTTACAATTGATGATAGATAATCAATATAAATTCTCTCGAATGACAATATAATACTCTTTCGAACAGTATAGTTATTTGTTTTTTTATTCTCAAATAAATTTATTTTATTGAGAGAAAAACATTGACAAAAGATAATAATTATATTATCAATAAAACATCTTTAGAAATATGTTTGATCACATTTCGGATAGTTAATTGTCATTAAACAAGATCAATAGGAGTCAGTTAATATCACATTTAAATGCTTTTTATAAATATATTTATAGTCACATTGACTTGTTTATCTTTAATAAAATATTCAAATAAATCAAATATATTGTTTCTACAAAGCAGAATAGGTTTGTTTTTTCTCTCATTGTTAATTTCTCTTAATAACATTTTCATATAGTTTTAAGATAATACTCATGAAAAGAATTTCATTTTCTATGAAATTATCCCTTAGACTAATCTAATACTCAAAACAATCGAAATCTATAAACACTTTTCGAACATATACTCTTTATGTAACGAGAAAGAATTTCTCAAAACAAAAAAAGAAAAAAATCCTGTTTTTCGATCGAATCTGTTTTTATCAAAATACAAAACATGATAAATTGTGTCGAAATGTCGTTTTAGTCTTTGACAAATGTGTTCCTTCGCATAAAATAAGTTTAATTGATAATAAAACCTATGTAGTCAATATATTGTTCGAAACAGCATCAAATTTTTTCTTCGAAATTATTTTTTATTATTATCTATAGTATATTTGATATAGACAATCATTTGCGAGACATATTATCTTAATACAATTTATACATTAGTTGTATTTAAAATCTTTTCTTTTTATATAACATTTGATTATTTTATTTTTCTATAAATATTATTTCGATTATATTAATCGATACTCATTGTGTTTATTTTAAATCTAAAGATAAATATTCTTTTAATTATAGAATATTCATCGAAATAATCTTAAAAGTTTAATTAAAATAAATAAAATATGTTTAAATATTCATTAAATCAAACGAAAATTGAATTGATATGATCAATCAAGAATTTTTCTCCTTAAAATTTTCTTTTTCTTTTTGCCAATTATTGAATAATATTCAAGTAAATAAATAAAATCTTTGACAAATATTAATAGTCTTAAAAAATAAATATCAGAAATAGATTCATCATTCGAATATAAAATTATCAAAAATTAAATTCAATTTCAAGGTTTTCATTGTTAAATGTTTTCCATGAAAATTTTTTTTTTTACTTCTCAAGAGAAAACATTTTAAAGATAAAAATCGTAGAATAACACGTTTGTTTTTTCGTAGATTAGATGAAAGTTATCTTATTTTTTCTATATCAGTTTGTTGATTGAAACTAAAATACTTTCATATATGATATTAAAATATCAATTCTAACATAATATATATGGGAAATTCGACATATGCGACTATTGAGTTTGTTTTATCTATTAATCGATTTATTTAATTGATTAATATATAGAAATAACATTTTCAATGATATTTGTTAGTTGATCTAGTCAGAAAATTCGAATTGAAAAAATACTTAACTAACTAACCGATAGATAAAATAATAAATTGATATTCGAAAATAAAATTTTTCAATAATTTAGAATAAAATATATGTGTTAAAATGGAATATATGTATTAACTTAAAACAAACCTAAACTTGTCATTACAAAATAAACCATAATTGAAACAAGAACATAAGATATAAGAGAACCACCAGGTCCTGATGATGCTAATGCTTGACCAGAAGCTAAAAATAATCCAGTGCCAATTGTTCCACCTAATGCAATCATAATCATATGTCGTTCTTTTAAATTTCTATGAAGACTTTCTTTATTTGATGGTAATAATATTCTACTATCATTCAAATTTGTTTCTCTATAACTTGGTGGATCATCATCTATTCGCCCTGATGATATAACATTTATCTAATTTACAAATTTAAAAAGAATAAAAAAAAAAAGCGAACTTTTTCTAAATAAAATTTTACTTGAATCATATCGGTACTGTTTTTTTCATTTTTAAGCTCAAAAGATGTTGCTCGGTCTCTTGACATTTCAATTCGTTACAAATCTGAAAACAAAATATTCTATGTTTTACTTATTTCTATTCGAAATCATTTTCTTATTCGAATCATCTATTTAATTTCATTATCAATCTTTGAAATGAAATCTAACGCATTATCAACAATGAGACAACAACGAATAACAATATATATTCATGTACATTGTTCTTTTTTTTTTAATGTTTTAAGAACAAAGATAAAAGAAAAAGATAATGTGTCACATCAAATACTTGTTATCGCTTTATACTATATATATTTTTATTATAATACGCAATAATCATTATCTCACAGAATGATATTTCATGTCGCAAAACTGAATAAGTTTAGTAATAAATTGCGCTGAATCAGTTATTTCATTGTTAAACTCCACTATTGGAAGAAATGATTGGTTTACCGTTCAGAATGATCAGTAAGCCGTATGCAGAAATGAACCAACCCTGCTTCAATTGCTAATTTTTTATACAATAAAAATATCTAGAGATGTTCCAAGATCACCAGAATTGGAAAGGAGCAATCACTCAAGAAGCCAACTTTACGATTTTTGATAAAGCTGATTGGATTTGATGCATGGAAGGAAGGGTTGAGCTGTGTTTTGAGAAACTGATGAGCAAAAAAAAGAACAATAAAACGCTGAAACTTCATTAGAGAAAAACGAAAATTTTTCAAGATTGAGGAAGTCATTCTGTTGTTCTCCGCTAGGGACATCACTGAAAATAGTTCATAAATATAGTCTGACATATAAATCATATTCATGCAAATTCAATTGTGAAACGAGCACAAAAACTAAACAAAAACAGATATTACTGTAAAGCTATATTTTTAGAATTGATTGCTTATATAGCTCTTCTATATTGTCTAAGGCAATAAGAACTTCATAGTCAACATGATTTTTTACTTCAGTTTATCCTGCATTATGAATGGATCGGAATTATCTGCACGACAATTGATTTATCAATTCAGATCAATCAAAAAACAGCAAAAAGCTTTAAATTAGATCTTGACTAACGAGGGAACCTCTCGAGGTGATAAAAAACTTTTGAACTCAGACTACTTTTATCATGTAGGCTTTAGTAATTAGTGAAATGTCCTAAGTTGATTCGTGACCATATTGCTTTGGGATGGAATTATAGATGATTTACTGGTTTTTCGACTTATGACTTCCTGAGAGCAGCAATAGCAAATGGATGAATTTCGATTTGAAATTTTGTCCATAAAGAGGTCTTATGAACACTAGGAATATCCTACAAGTTTCGAGCAAAACGAATGCATCCTTCTTGAGATATGAAATTTTCAAAAAACGACTGTATTGTAAAATAGATTGTAACTGCGTGCGAGAAATAGTCGGTTTTTTTTAAATTCGATATCTCAAGAAGGATGCATTCGTTTTGCTTGAAACTTGTAGGACATTTCTAGTGTTCATAAGACCTCTTTATGAATAAAATTTTAGATCGAAATTCATTCATTTGCTATTGCTGCTCTCAGGATGTCATAGGTCGAAAAACCAGTAAATCATCTATAATTCCATCCCAAAGCAATATGGTCACGAACCAACTAAGGGGATATCACTACTCACTAAAGCCTACATGATAAAAGTAGTCTGAGTTCAAAAGCTTTTTATCACCTCGAGAGATTCCCTGGTGAGATCTATATTGGATAATGGTATTAGAATTAAAAAGAATGCTAACTTAATGCTGGCAGCTTTGTATCAATTAACTCTAATGCCAATAATACTGAAGCATCAGTCTTATTGTTTAATGCTAATGCAAAGGTATTAGCAGTTTTTAACAACAATGCTAACATGAGACCCCTATATTGAAGTATCCAAATCGCTAAAACAACATTTGTCCGCTTAACTAACTCTTTATCTCAGCGTCACGATGTGAGGATGCGTACCGCCCCCTGCAGAGCAGTGACCGATACTCGCCTCTGTGTACACAGTGATAAGAATAGTTCCAATTCGAATTATAATTCAAATACACATAACAATTTTACCTTTTGCTTTTTTTTGCTGCTACGACAGTGGTGCGTTATTCAATTTATAGATTTATAATTTACCTATATAAAATTTATCTTTTGTCTTTTTTCGCTGTGGTGAGAAGAGTGGAGTTTTTTTAATAAAGTTTTTTCTTTTTTTTGTGACTATTTCAACAGGAAGTCATTTTTAAAAAAATTTTTCATGCATATTCGAACTCGAATTCAGCATCTACTCTATATTATAGAAATATTTAATAAATAAGATAATCGAAGTTCTATTGAATAAGGTAAATAGAAACGAATAATAGTATTTAATTCTGGTTAGATATGTTATGATTAATTATTGAAAAGAATTTTTCTAAGAATAATTTAATCCTTCGGCTATGAAACTTTAAAAAAAGAATTAAAATTTGTTTTTTGCCGTATCTTTGATCGTAAATTAATCTGTAGTTCTAGTTTATAAAAAAATTTTTGTAAATATGGATGTTTGGAAGTTTTTCAAAGTGTCTTACAGTTCAAAACAAGATACAACACATAAACCAACATTACATTGAGCACACTCATGTCTTATATCAGTGCTTTTTTTTTTGGATCTGTGGTTGTATTACTACAGACATGGCACTTCCAGCTCTTTGTTTCTGCAAATACACCTTCAGCTGAATAACCTTGAATAAGTGAAGAAAAGTGTCGAGCAGTGAGTCTCAATAGATTTTCTAAAGATAATCTTCCTTATTTTTTTCATTTTTTTTTTACTCCTAACAAAGCAAACTTTTCAGTAGGAGTCAGTTGTATTATAATTATTATGCATTGCCGATTATCATAATAACAGAATTTATAATTCAAATTACATTAAAAAAAAGTGCCTCAGAAATGCTTTCACGAAAATTGATATCACTTATAATTCTATGAGTGTCAATATATCATGAAATTACTGTGACGCATATTTGTGTCAGCCGCAGCCAAAAGATTAATTAACTATGTGGACTTTCGAAATCAAAAGTCAATGAGAATTTTCATAGTTCTATTTCTATAAAAGTTGTAAATAATCAAATTTAAAATAGAAAATAAATTTATGATAAAAAACTTGATTTAGTCAATAGCATTTCAAATACATAAATATCGAATAGGATAATATTTATTTAAATCAATTAAAACGATTTAATTTAACTGCAATAAATGTTCGATGATGATTCAATCTCTAATGTTATATATTTCATAATAAACAATTCAATTGATTATCTCTTTAAAAAAAGAAATATTGATTTGTAAATAGTTTTGTTATTTTTTTCATAGAATCTATGCGCGACAAATCGAAGTGTAAGTAGAAGAAAAAAGAATGTTGATAAAATAATATCTTAAGAAGATTATATCTAAAAAAGAAAAAGAAAATGAATATCATATTCATATAGAGAAAGAGAGAAAAAAAAATATTTTTTTACTGAAATAAATAAAAACGAAAAATGTTACCTAATATAGTTAAATATAATTGTTGTTGATAATGAACAATATAAAAATTCGATGTTAATATCAACTGAAATATTAGTAAAAACGGCTCGTTTAATATTGATATATGGAGGCCTAACAATATTATTGCTTGGTATGTTTGGTTCATTAATGGTTATAATTATATTTAATAATTATCCATTAAATGAAAATCCATTTTCAATATATATTCGAGTTATTGGAATTTTATCATTTTTATTTTTACCAATTTATTTTTTGCCAAATATAGTTACGTTTGGTTTTGAAATAAATTGGCTTGCATTAAATGGAACATTTTGTAAATTTCAAATGAGTTATGCTGTATTTACAATAACATCAATATTTATATTAAATTGTTTTATTTCATTTAATCGTTATTCAATAATATCATCTTCACCCAAAATTCGATCATTTAATTCAATTAAATTATCTCGTTATCTTGTTTGTGGAGCTTTAATTATAATTTGGTTTGCTTTTGGAATGCCTGTTGTAATTCTTTTTGATAATGTTCCACAGGAAAATCTAAATGGTACAGCTATTTGTACATCACGATCACGAGCTTTATTATTATTTGCAGCACTTTTTTATTTTCCATTATTAGAAGGAGTATTACCTATTCTATTAGCTATTTATTTTTGGTATATTACAAGAAAACTTGTTAAACGTCTAAACAATCAACATGTTATACAAAGATTTGATAGACAAATAACTCGAACATATATGTTTCAAATAGCTGGAAATGCAATAGCATCTCTTCCATTTGCTACGATTAATCTTTATAGATCATTGACAATGGAAAAGAAAAGAAGTGAAAATGAAGAAAATGTTGTACAATTTCTTCGTCTTCTTGCAATATGTTTATTTTATGTTCAATATTCGACCGATTTTTATATTTATATGATAACATCGAGTGAATTTCGAATGCGAGCTTGTCATATTTTGTCTTTTTGGCATCATTTTCGAAGATATTGGAATAATCGTGTTGTACAGGCTCAAGTATAAATTTATTTATTTACCGAATCTTTTACAAAAAAATCTAAAAAGATGTTAAATAGAATGTTTTTAATATTTGATTATTCTTAAAATATTTAATTTAAATAAAACAAACATAAAACGATTTCATTTAATTAACAAAAAATACTCTTTAAATTGATTAATCTTTTTAATGAAGAAATTTATTTGTTTGAAATAGAAATAATTTGTAAAACAAATAAATTTAAGAGAACTTTCATCAAATTATCGACAATTATGTCAGCGATTCAGACACTGATCAAAACTTTATATTTTTATATGGTGTTCTCCTCTTAAACAACATATAAAAATATAAAATATTGACCAGTGCTTCTGTTTGTTAGTTGGATCTTAGATGCTCTGTTAGTATTTATAATTGTTTACATTGATCAGATATAAAATAATCTCGAACAAGTTCAATTATAAGAAGATTATTATAAAGTAAAAAAAATATTAAATCCAGATTAAAAAAATCTCTTATTAGAAGAAGAAAGACGTTGTCTTTTTTAAAATTCTTTTGTTGATTTCAAAGGATGATAAGATTATTTCGAAAAGAATTTCTTTTTATTACTTAATTATTGATAAAGAATATTCTTTATTTTTATCATCGGCATGTCATTGAACAAAGTGAAATTCTCCGTGATAAATCGATTCGATTTCTTTGAAATTTATGTTTATATTTAAATCTAATAGGATAAATCATATTCTATTACAAAGAGATATATTTCAAAAACAAAGTTTCTTTTTCTAAATTTGAATAATTAAAAAATCGTAGAAATCTTCTCATTTCTATTTAAACGAATTTCTATTTGAATATTTGTTATTTTATTGAAACCGTTTATTTTTTATAATAAGAATAAGGTTTGAAAATATTTTTCTTGCGAAAGACTTTTGTTGAATTTGATCGGTGATATAATAATTATAATTAAATATATTTTAATTAATTAGAAAATTCAAAAAAATTACTTAATATAGATTTAAATTTGATAAAGAATACCTAATTGAATTCATATAGGTTCGATTAAATGGAAAAATTTTGAATTAATATCTAAATATTGATCAAACATAATTAAATTAAACATTTGATTTGTATATGTTAGATGAATATTTTTTAGTTTTTCTAATTAAATGAATTATTTATCAAAATTTTTAAGATAATATAAGAATTGAAATAATTTTCAAAATCTGAATGTCTGATTGACATTATTAGTTGAGTTTATCCGAATAAAAAGCATTCTTCATAAAAATCTCGCGATTAAAAGTTCTTCAGAAGAATTTTATTTTGATAAAAAAAAAGTATTTAAAAAGAAATATAAATTAGTCTATAATTGATATTAAAAAAAATTGTTATTTAATGTTTTTATTTCATTTAAGAATTCAATATTCTATTTGAATAAAACATATTCCTATAATGAATTGCATTTCGATTTGATTTCCTTGAAAATCAATTATTTTTTTTTCTTTCATTAAAACTAAATAAGAAAAGCAATTGAAAGAAAAAATTCAAATACTTTTTTTTTATAATTTGATTGAAAATTTATATGAATAAAAAAAAAAAAGAAGTGAACTATTATTGACAAATTGATTAAATATAAATGAAATAAAATCGATAAAAAAATTTATTTTTAAATGAATATTTATAAATTTTAAAAATCTTTAGAATTTAGTTAGTCAATTTGATAATTAAAAATCAATAAAAGAAAAATGTATTCTATGATAAATGTTCCATATAGAATTATTCTTGTCGTTTTAACATTGTTTTATATTGATTATACATCAAGCAAGAAACTATTTGATATGTATGGAAAAGGTAAAGTTTTTTGAGTTGATTTTTTCGAAGAAATTATTTTCAATATAGTTTTTATTATCAATTTATTTTTGAATTCATATAAGAATTATTTTGAATATTAATCAGATAAAAACAAAATTCTAATAAAATAAATCTGTTAAAGGTGCTTGGGCTCATTCAACAGAAATAAAATTTCAATGTTTTTCTGGTGATTCTTTAATTAGATTATCGAATGGTGAAAACAAACAAATAGCTTATCTTAAATCAGGTGATGAAATTCTTACTATTGAGCAATCAAAAATTGTTTCTACTCAAATGATAATGATGTTAGATAAGCAAATTTCAAAAGAAGGTTTTTTTATTTTATACAAAATTATTTATAATGATATATCATTTTTTTAATTTTAGCTTTATTTTATAAATTAAAAACAGAGTCTGGTCATGAAATAAGTTTAACAGACTTTCATTTAATACCAATTATTTCTTCAAATGGAAATCAAACTTATTTAGCTGCAAAACATATTCAGATAGGAGATTTTTTATATGTTTTATTTAATGATAAATTACAATATTCTCCAGTTATTAATATAACAATTGAAATAAAAAAAGGTTACTATGCTCCATTAACAATGAAAGGTACATTATTAGTTAATGATGTCTTAGCAAGTTGTTTTGCATATGCTAAAAATCATCATTTAGCACAATTATATATGTTTCCTTTTCGTCTCTATTATAAATTGACTCGATTCTTTTATTTAAATGATTCATTTAATAATTACAAATCCGAAGGTTTACACTGGATAATTGCAATTATGTTTGATTTTGCACGTTATTTTAGACCAGAAACATTATTTTCATAATAAAAACTTCGATTATCTCTTTATTTAGTATTTCCATTCTCTTTTATTTCTTTTTGAATTTTTTTATAAAGATGTTAGCATTGTCATTTTTTTTAATAGTTGGGAAAATCTCTTAATTGTCATTGTTTATTCAATAGTTTATAGTATATATATCATTTATATTTATTAGAAATTAATCATTGAAAAGAATTATCGAAATAAATAAAACAAAATAATTTGCAATATTTTAAGACAATATTCTCAACATCTGTTTTATCAAAATTAATTGCTTGTATGTACTGTAATATACATAGACGAACTTTTTTCAATTGACTTCATAGAATATCAACCTCAATAAAACATAAACTTTCACGAAAAATAAAACGTCAATTGACGAATAAACTACGTCAGGCTTCTATGCGTTCATAGAACTCTTTTGGACTTTCAATATTTTTTATTTTAATATAACATTTATAACCAAAACTTCATCTATATAAATATCCTTTACTTTTATAAAAAGCACTTTTTTAATAATGAGATCATCAGAATGTATATTTGACAAAGATTACATCAAATTCATTTAGAACTAATTATACGTTCATCAATCTTTTACAAAAAAGAACAGAACAGTTAATTGCTTAAATGAAAAACAATAAAATTTCTCTTAAAATCATCACGAATTCGAATTATCTACATTCATCATGCGCTAATCATTAGGGTATGCCATACTGTCACCTTGCATCTGCTCAATGATGTCAGAGTGTTCGGTCATCATTTGGCTAGATGCTCTGACTTCATTAACGACAATAGGTACCTGTTCAATCTGTCCTCTACTCACTCTTTTCTCTCTTTTGTCTTACTCCCTCTATGGTGTATAAGCCCGTGTTCTATACGAAATAGATATGGCTGAACTTATGGATTAGTATAATGAACATTTATATCGAGAGTAACGATTATGCTATTCCTCTAGTTGTTATTGTTGATCACAATAACATGCACACTGCATTGCTAACGAAATAGATAATTTTTCTTTTATTATACCATTACATAGTGCCTAATCATCAAGTTTAGGTTCTTTAGTAATGCAATATAGAAACGTCATAGTTACAGTACATAAATGATTACCCTATGTAGCACTTCATAGCACGGTACAACCCAAAAGCAGCGTCGAACGATTGACGTTTCTTAGGAACGGCAAGTAACGCAATTGAATCAGCCGTATTCTATGCTGTTTACATTCAATGAGAACCAGTGGACAATGTTAACGACTGTTTAGGAAGAGATACGATAAAAAAAACGATGAGTTTTTATTAAATCGTTTACAGATAACCTATATGATGCCTTACGAAATTATTTCAATGTTGTTTACAGTCATCGTATTGTTACGGGAATCGTTAACAGCGATTATATACAGTCATTGTTTACGAAGGTTGTTATACACCATAAAGCATAGGTTATGATTGCTGTAAACGACCATCCTAAACAGTTGTTCTTTTTCCTCATAATTGATCCGCATAGGATCACATACGATGTTGAGTGTTTGATTCGGCTTGATCATTGTAATTGTTTCCTTCTCTAACACTAAATAAAACAAAGAAAAAATTCTTTGTCTAACAAAATAGTTAAATTTAACTGTTGCATATCAATTTCATTTCAGAATATGAATAATTAATATTTTAGAAAATAGATTTATTTTTCCATTCAAAAAACATTTCTAGTAAGAGATAAGTCCTTCAGTAAAAAGTCTTCTCATTTCAATTCATCCTTGAAAAAAAAACCCAAAATATATTATTTAAATCACATCAAAATCAGCACTTATTAGTAGAATTTTATCAAATGAAATCAATATGTAAAATTAAATGTTTGATTAATCAAAAATTTCTCGTCAAATAATATATATTCTCATCAAATTCAAATACAAGTTCAAAATAACATGGTATGATTCAGCCGAATGATATCATCCATCTGTACATTGAAAGTTTACAGATCACCAATCTATGTGTTCATCTATCTTCTGTTCTCTTTAGAAAATCCTACAAAGATCTCTTTCCACAAACTAGACAGCATCCTCACAAAAATCTAGTTAAATACTTTAAGAAAAATTCAAAAACAAAATTTAAATTAGGAATCTTTTCAATCTTGATAAAATTATCATCTAAAAACAAAGGAAAACTGGTCACCATCTTTAAAAGATTTTATTAGAAATTTTGACAAAATCTTTGCTTTTTTTGTGCCTACACACTTTTTTTCATAATTTTGTCGTTAACTCAGGAAAAATCGATGAATTCATGCTCGATTCTTGTCAGATCTATCAAGGATCAATCGAAAAGAAATAAAAGATTTCTACTAGAGTAGTCATACTT